CCTGCTGAATTAAGATACTTGGTCAGTATTCACTTATCATATTTTAGTGTGAAAATCTATGTAGAATCTCTCTCTCAGGTTACCAGTTCTTGGGAGCTCCTAGCATTGATCACACAAGTCTTTTTCATGTTTGTTAAGTAGGTGTTGGATGAGGTGGATTGCATGCTTGGTAGTGGCCTTGATCCTGAAATCCATAAAATTCTCAGACCATTGCAAGAACATGAGTCAAAATCTTCTGTCAAAAGATTACAAACTATTTTGGCAATTTCAACTATAGCTGAGGTATGATGACCAACTATGTTATTGTACTAGTATTTGGACTATTGCATGAAGGAGGTGTGCTTAGGTTACAATACGGTGATACAATTGTTTTAAAATATAAATGATATGATACGTGTAAGATATGTATTTTCATATGTATCAATATTTCTAAAATAATGTGTAATTATAATTTTGATCAAAATTCATAAACATAATAAATATGTAATTGCAATTTTACAAATCCAAATTAAAAACATTCTTTTTGTACATTACTAATAACAAATAAATTATAAATAATTGCATCATAAATTACTTATTATTTACAAATAGAATTAATACTATCAACCTTATTTCTTTCTTAAAATCATCCATATAGAAGACGAATTCTATTTTTAGTTTATCAAAGGACAATGTTTCTATATTTTTATATTAAACGTGTTTAAATGTCTTATTTAGCTGTAATGAATACCTCTATAATTGGGTTGAGCTACTAATTATATCAGTTATGTAGCTGACGTCAATAAACCGGTGAATACCTGTATAAACTTGCTACGAACCGATTTCAAGTTGACCTAGATGAGACTTTTAAGATATATATTTCTTGAGACTTGTGTTAAATTTTTTTAAATTTACAACAAAAATATAACTTAAAGCAATTTGGTTGGAATTGATCCATGCACCTAATGGTTTGGGGGCACACAACTTGACCACTGAACCATTTTGATTTATGGTTAAATGCTTCACAATTATAATATATATACTTATACTTGATAATATTTTTATTTAAACTGGTTCATATGGTTCACCTAGTGATTTATTGGTTCATTCAGTGACCTTCTAACCCAATACTTTCACCGAGTCAATAACAGGTTTGAGTTTTAAAATTATGCTCAAGAGTATTGAAATTGGATAAGATTTTCATAATTTTTCTTTAAGGTTTGGATATTTCATTGATACGTATCGGTGAAATATCCGAAAGTATTTGTATCGGATACAACTACGTGAAACAAATTGAAGTATCAAAGTTTCATAGGGCTTCCATCAAAATAATGGTTACGTTTCTGTCTTTCTGATTTATCCTTTTTCATATGGCAGGTTTTGGGCGATCAATTCCCTGTTGTAAAGCATCTAGAGTGTGATCATGCAGGAAATATTTCTGCAATGTCTTTAGAAATGGAACCAACAGAAGTCTTTCATTTCACAGAGTCTCTTCAGGCTCTTAGGAAAAAAGTGGCAGAGGCCATGGATTCCCTTTTGAAACAACAGTAACATCTTGGTTTACAAAGTCAAAACAGGTTTTATGATCTTTCTTATAGCAACTGATGAGTTGATTTTGCCTTTGTATATTATCATCATGTTCTTCTAACTTTGAGGTACCTAATAGACAAGTACCATACTTTTATGCATGTGTGTGTATATATATATTATTATTATTATTCATTTTCAAACAACCTTTTTAGCTTTTATTTCTTGTTTCTGTTGTGTTCAACCATTTTAGTTGTATAATGTTAAACGAGTTTAACCGTATGAAAGATAAATGACTCAATGGAAATATTAATGTTAAAAGATATGATTTTTTTAAAATTCATTATCAATTAAAAGTTAATGATTTCAAGATTGATGGTTTTACAAATATATTTACTTGCGATTTATATCCCAAACGAAATTCAATTTACTTTCATACTTACATTTTTGAATTTTAAGGGGATGAAATATAATATACTATAAGCTTTACGTAAAACATGATATTGAATATTGATTTTAAATTAGTCAATTGGTGTAATACTTTTTAAACTAATTGTTCGTTTGTAAATAATTTATATAAGAAGTATTTTTTTTTTTTGTATATTATATATTTCATTAATTTATTTTTCAATAAAGCTTTTTTTTTATTTATCAATATTTATAATATATTACTAATGTATTACGAAACATGACTGCTATAAGGAGGATTTTTTTTTTTTTCAATAAAATTATTAATCAATATTTAGAGTGTTAGTGCTCCTTAAACTCAAGTTTGTTTGTAAGATTAGATATAAAATAATCGCCCATGGTTGCATTTCTGAAACCAAAGTTATCCTAAAACCAGACCCCTTTGTACAAAAAATGATTAGTACGAATTAAAAAGCCTTTTCTTATCTTTTAGTAGTAAAGATCAATTGTCAATTCCATAGATAAACATTTCCTGAGGAAACACCAACAATCTCTTGCTTTCAATTTTTTTTGTGAAACTTATATAAATGAGGCAAGGAATCAACTAGATTATATCAAAATACCTTAAACTTGGTATTTTAAAAATATGATAACATTGATGCATAACTGTATTCTATAACCACTTTAGGTAACGGCTTTTTGACGAAAGTAAATTAAAATAAATAAATGAAAAAAATAAATAAAAAAAAAACAAATTATCAATATAGGTTATTTTGACCACGTGCCAGGTAGAATAGAAGGCGCAAGAAAAATTTGTATGGATGGCGCAAAGGATGAGTGCATCATCTCATGCACCTTGGTTAGTGAAGATGGCACAGGGGACAGGTGCTCTTTCTACACCTGGGACTTTTGTGAAGATGGCGCATAGGGTGGATGCTTCTTCGGTTATGCACAGTTGATTTTGATCAAAGTTGATATAGAACCCACTTTTGAAAATTTTGGAATTCAAGATCTAATTCCTCCATTGTTACCACATTGTTATCAAATCATTCGTCTTTCCACACAGGATATAATCCCACCACCACCCGTCTCATTCTATGTCTTGAAATTAATATACAACTGGATTAAATATTTAAAAATAAAACTTTGCTGCCTATAATGTTATCGACTAAAATTGTCTGAATAAAAATAAGGTTTTTATGGTAATCTTATTTTTTTACAAATATTTTAAAATTTGATTTTAATTTTAAAATATTTTTTATTTAAATTTTATTTTTTGAAAACAAATTTGATTTTTGTTAAAATTTGATTTAATTTTATAAAATACTTTTATTTGATTTAAAATTTATTTTAATATATAAGAGGTTGATTAATATTAATATTCTAAAATAAATTATTAATATATAAAAATAA